TGTTTGTTAAAACAGTGGTACCTACCTGGTGATGCTGTGTCCCAGTTTGTTTTCTTTGACTGTGATAAATGCCATGACCAAAAGCAGCTTGGGTAGGAAGGGATTTACTTGGCTAACACATCCCAGGTCACAGTCCATCATTGACGGAAGTCAAGGCGGAAAGTCAAGGTAGGAACCTAGAGATGAGTACCAAAGCAACCGTGGAGGAACACCGCTTACTGCCTTACTCCTTGTGGCTTACTCAGTCTGCTTGCTCGCTCGCTCCGTCCCTCCCTCCTTCCCTCCCTTTCCTATTTAAGACAGGGATTCTCTGTGTAGCTTTGGAGCCTTTCCTGGAACTAGCTGTTGTAGACCAGGTTGGCCTTGAACTCACGGAGCTCCACCTGCCTCTGCCTCCTAAGTGCTGGGATTAAAGGCATGCGCCACCACCGCCTGGCCATTCCGCTCTCTTATAGCACCCAGAAGCACCTGCTCAAGGATGGTACCACCCCTAGTGATCTGGGCCCTCCCTTATCAGTCATTAATCTAGAAAATGCTTAACAGTCTTGCCTACAGGCAATCTGATGGAGACACTTTCTCAGCTGTGGTTCTTCCCAGAAAATTCTAGCTCGTGTAAAGTGGACAAAAGTGTAACCAGGACACATTCTTTGGGGAGGTTCTGGAAACTTTGGTTGGTAGGACCTTGCTGGAAAAAGTAGGTCTTTTGGGGAGGGCCCTGGTGATTGTTTCTTTCTCTATCCCCTTCCTGTGTGTCTCTTGGGCTTCCTGGCTGATGTGAGAACAGCTCTGTCCCACCATGCCCTTCCAGCACGGTGCACCACCTCAGTACAGGCCCTCCAACAATAGAGCCAGCAAATGTGAGCTCAAATCCCTAAAACTATGAGCCACCGCAAATATTTCCTCCTTCAAACTCTGAAATGGTTATTTTGATTCTTCTCCTTTCTAGGTGAGATAAATTATGTACTTTAATTTTAAATCAACAAAAACTGTACTATGCTAAGTGGTAGAAATCTATATTTGCCAGTGGCATTGTATCTACCTTAATCTGGTGCTATACAAAAGTGTCTCTATCTGGTATTTTCTTCAGGATGTTCCTTTAGGCCTTTACACGGTGTCTTAAGATTCATCCTTCAACTTGCTTTCTATTGGGTAGGCATCAAGAACTTAATATTTATAGTTGTCTTTTGTTTTGAAATAGTCTCATGTAGCACAAATTGACCTGAAACTGGAAAGACCTTGAACCTTTGATCGCCCATCTCCACTTCGCAAGTGGTGGGATTATAGGCATGCATCACCATGCCTGTTGCCAAGTGTGGCTTTATGTAGGGTAGGCAAGCATTCTACACACTGGGTTACATCCTAGTCCATACATCCTAAAGTTAGTACTCTCTGGTCTGGGTGTGCATTGCACTTGATCAATGGGTTGAAAATATTAATGTCTTATTATAGTTAGTATTTCAATAAGACTGTGATAATACATTTCTAAGAATACAATTTCTAATTTTATCCTCCTCTTAACAGAATAAATTGTGATTAGCAAGTGTCTTCAGGCATGACCATGCTCTCCCTGTACAATTAAGGTTTGGTTTTAGGTACTGAGAATTCAAGTAGTCTAGACAACGTGGTTCAAGCTAACTTTCACACGTGCGTCTCTGTGGCTAAGCTATAAATGAAGCGCACAAACCACTCACTCTGTTGCTGCCTCGTAAATGTGGAAGCAAACGTCCTGGAGTTTTTACTAGTTATGGAGGCATTTCTGGAAAGTATTGAGAAGAAATGAATTATCCCCTTCTATTACCATTAACAAAGGACAAGTGTGGAGGGTTCTTAAAGCAAACATGATTGTTGTGTGTTTTAAAAGGACTCCCTCGGTAAGAATTAGTTTGATGGAGCTTGACAAGGATTGAGAATTTAAAATGCCTCCACGTGTTTCTTTTACTACACAGAATGGACACGGACTCTTTTGGAACAGTATATTTTACTGCATGGATTGAATTTCCTTTCATCAAGTGTTTGTAGAGTATTTACCAAGCAATAAATGTTGGTATGTAGAGAGAGATCAGAGAGAAATATAATAAAGTTTTGTCTTGAAGGAGCTTACTCTGTAGTGATAGGCTAAAGTCCCCTGGTATCTATGCTTGTAAGGAAGGACTAGATGCGGGATACGTTTAATAATAATTGGAGAGCATGGGTTTCCTGAAGTACTCTATCTGTTTTATTTAGAACACTTTCCAAAAGCCCTTCCCAGAAAGGAAACATTGTCGCTGACAATGGATATTAATAGACTCCAGACTGAAAGTTCTGCGAAAACAGCGGTCAAGTTTCATGCAGATCTGAATTCCTAGTATCAAGAGCAGGCCAAGCACATACTATTTACTCACTGAGTCTTTGTTCAGTCAGTCAACTCTGAATAAGTAATTGAACGCCCTGCTAGAACGTAGGGTGTCTCAAGTCAACATCAAGAATCCAGAGCACTGAGAATTAGGAATTAGATGGCATCTGAGGTAGGCTTTGAGGGACAAATGCCACTTCAGTGTTTGCATATTCGGAATGGAACTCTAACCATGACTCTATTTAACGATAAATACATCAAACTGAATCATCTTTTTAAATAGGCTAAATGTAATTCCCCAAAATCATTTCCTATTCTTAACTGGGTATTGACTCCATAATCGAATGAAACCCTTCACAGGTAACCTCATCTCAAGCTTCCAAATTTGCCTCCTTTTATTCAGGATTCTCTGCTTAATGTTCTAATTTAGGGCAGTCGCTGCCTCAGATCAAGGCAGGCTTAACTTTGCCTCGAGTCTTTCCCATAATACCCCACACATAACTCCTTGATGACCAATGGAAAACAACCAAACCTAATGAGGTTGAGAGGACCTACATCACCAATTTTGTTGATGTTCTGGAAAGTAATAAGGATAATTTTCAACAATAGACTATCACAGTGATTTTCAACATGTGGTTCATGAACCCCTTGGCAAACCTCTATCTCCAAAAAATATTTACCGTTATGATTCATAAAAGTAACAAAACCACTGTTTATAAAGTATAAACAAAACCAATTTTAGGGTGGGGGGGTCACCACAACCTGAGTAACTGTATTAAAAGGTCCCACCATTAGGAAGGTTGAGAACCACTGGACTGGAGTTTGGGGTGCCTGAACAATGGGCAAAGTAAAACTATCGGAGACAAAGTAGCTATTAAAATTTTTTTTTGGGTAACTCTAATGTGATAGATGTCCCAAAAAGACAGTCCCAGGGCCATGAGTCTGTGTTCCATGATGTTTTGCTGGGATCTGCGGTATTTATGTTTCCATTGCTGTGGTGACTTCATCCTGCCTGTGTGTGTGTGTGTGTGTGTGTGTGTGTGTGTGTGAGAGAGAGAGAGAGAGAGAGAGAGAGAGAGAGAGAGAGAAAGAGAGAGAGAGATGGCATGATGTAGACATTGTATATATCACTTCCATTCCCATATCTCTGACAGAATTCAGTCACATGGCATGCCTCATTCTGTAGCCCACGGGAAGCAGCTAAACTGGCTTGTGCCCAAGTATAACTTGGGTCTCTGTTAGAAAACAAAGAGGAGCCTCTGAGAAACCTAAGGATGACCTAACATAATTCCCTACCCCTCTTCTCCAAAGTCCTATAAGATGCTCTGTTCTGACAGGGACAATGACCTATTCAAACAAAGCTGTGTACTGAGTGTTTGTGTGCTGAGCGAGGGACCATTGTTCTCCTGCACCTAGAGTATAGCTCTACCATAAAAAGTGCTTCATAGTCTCTGATAACCAACTGCCAACAGTAAAAAGTAGATGCTACCATCTGCAGCATCATTTATGATCTAAAAGTTTTTAAAAATGGCACAAAACTATGAAGTTATAGGAACTGGGTGATTTTTCTTGCACCCTAACTCAAATTTTGCTTCACTATGACTTGGTTTTTCTATCTCATATTCAGTGGTAGTCAATATTCTCCTGGACCCCTTCCTCTGATCTGTGCCAGAAAAAAAAAAAACTAGATTGCTTTTCTGATATTTAACAATGATTTGTTAGCTCGGAGAAGTTTAATTCATATGTTGTCCAGTTTCTTGTCCTTGGATAACCTGAAATTGAATATAATGCAGTGTTTCATGACTAACCAATATCTGAAATGCTGTGGTCATTTTAGTAAATACTAGACCTCCATTCCAGGGACCACACAAGGAAAACCGTGTGTGTGTGTGTGTGTGTGTGTGTGTGTGTGTGTGTGCCCACGTGCATGTGCGTGCATGCGTGTGATCAATTGAGAAAACATTTTGTTTGGTTTTATAGATCAAATTAATTGTTTTAGGTCACAAAATTCTACAAATGAAGTCTGGTTCATAGTCTGAGAATTCCTATTTGGTTTCATGAACAACCAGCACCTACCTGCTCTTTGATGGACAGCAAGCATCATAATCTATTAAACAGGTCTCTCGATCACTCCCTCCATGGGGCCAGGATGCAATTTGCTAGCAAATTGGAATCAGAATTGGGTTTTTAAAGAAAGCCTTCCCACAGTTGTAAACATCCTTAATTTTTACAGTAACACACCGACTTCAAACCGGACTCCTAATTATTGCAATATTTCTTTTAAAAGCCTTGTATTGTAGATTCTGCAAAGTTCAGACATCTGCTTCAAATCCCGAAGTTTCTTTCCTCTCTCAGAAAAGGTTGCCCTCCTCCAATTAGCCTCAGCAGAGCAGCGGGAGCAAGTGGAGTTCTGTGGACGGGGTTTCATGTTTACTGCGCACATTCCAGCCTCACCCGCCTTTTCCCACATGGGACCATAATAACCACTTTGCCTGTTGGGCCCAAGACCAAATGGCCTTTGAAGTACAAAGGGATACAGTCTGAGTCCTTTTTAAAATATACTCTTGCAAATCTTCTGCTTTATCATAAATGAAGGCAGTTTACCTAAGACAACGCATTCCTTGGCATTTCCGTTTTAAGTATGAACACCGGAAATAGGCTTCCGGTACTGGTGGAAGAAAGTTCCTGCTGGTGTTGCCATGGAAGCTGATTTCTACACATCAGAAGCACGAAAATCTGAAGGCTGCTGAACTGGAGCTGGTGGTTAGAACAGCCACTGTTATTATCCCAAACCAAAAGGAGGGTGGTAATAATGACGACCACGGATTCTTAAATATGTCTTCCGTCCTCAATGATTTCAAAGTTCCCAGGAAACGGCCTCACATGAAGTGCCAGCATGGCCAAGCAAGTTCATCCAGCTGAAGTCCACCCCTGTACTAAAGATATCATAGGTTGGGACTGCAGACAAATTTTATGTTGCTTAGATCTCAACTTTATTGCTTAAGGTAAATGACTTTCGGTGAGATGGTTACCCTCTAGGTTTGGTGTGTGTGTGTGGCAAGACTCAGTTTCCCCATCTGAGAAGTGGGGATGTTGGGGTTTTGAGGGCCAGGGTCAAATCGTATCTCTCATTGCTCCACCTCTGAGTTTAGAATCAGTTTACAGACGAGCAGAGACTGAGGCCACAATGAACCATTGATAAAATGGGTTTGGGGTTCAGGATCTACCTTGTTAAGATGGACCTGTCCGCCAGGTCGTTTCTATATGTAGGCCTGGAGATGGAGGAGAAACTGGACTGGATCTCACTATGCTGTTAAACATCATCAGTTTAAATCCTACAGTTGGAGTTCTTTACAGAAGTACGGTACTGACTCTCCTAGGACTGAGTTTAAAAGCAAGAGAAACAGATCAGGATATCACCTAGAAATTTCAAGTACTCTTCCCTTCCCTCCTTGTACATTCTGTTTCTCCTCCTCTTCCTCCTCCTCCTCCTTTTCTTCTCCTCCTCCTTCTGCTTCCCTCCCTACTTTCTCCTTCTCTCCCCTCCATTTTTCCTTTCCAGTCATTCAGTATAAATATCACTTACAAGCTGCCCAACACTATCCTATTATCAGAAGATACAACTGAAGATATAGAAAGGCTCTGTGCTCTAGGAGCTCAAGGTCTTGAACAAGTTATAGGAGGTGCATACGGAGACCTGGTTAATAATCCAAGACCACCACACTGCGATGGGTGCGAGGGATTGGCTGTGAGAGACCTGGCAATGCTCCTGGGAGCATCCAGGACCAGAGTGATTTGGATTCCTCCTTTAAACCTGTGGAAAGTCAGGGCTTTGGGTAAGGTTTTGTAGACTGAGCAACTTCATCAGTGAGGATTCTAGAATCATGGAGATGGAGGAAAATGAGTCCAGGTCTCAGGGTCTTTATAAACAGATACATCTTCTAGACACTCCAGAAGAGAAAGGCTGTGGCAGAAATCTTGGGGGAACATTTGGTTTGCTTTTCCCAACCCAAACATTACCTTTCCTGTAATATTTTTAGTACAAATTCAACTAGAAATGGTGGCTGTACTGCCTATTTCAGTATACCTTGTCTCAATACCTGGGGAAAGGCGTCATTGATGTCATATGTGGAGAACAAGGTATCACCGTATGTCCCTATAAATCCAAGTCTGAAGTGACCATTGAATCTTAATATATTGTCACCTTAGCAAAAAGTTGACCCAACCACTCTGTTTCTCACTTTGTGTCAAAGCAATTCTTCCAAAGGAAGAACAGATATGTAAAAGATTTCTTCACACATATCTTTTCCTGAATGTTCACAATGCCCCTACATTGTCATTTCCACTGTCTCCTTTGTACAGATAAGGACATTGAGGCCGAGAGATGCGGAAGTGCCCGGCCTACAGTGGTACTGCCAGCTAGAAGCTGGGCAAGGCTCCCAGCTCAAGAAGCTGCTACCCTCGCCTTAGAAAACCAATCGCTTGGCTGCAGCTGTGAGAAGCTTTGGCACTCTAAGAGATATCTTTCCTTTTGCATAGGAATTCTGGGGGCACTTGCTTCTGGTGATAAACAGGCAGAATAATGGCTTAACTGTGTGTCTCGGTTTATCAGTTTCACAGCAGGGTACGAGTCCGACTGTGCAGGTTTTAATGGAGTCCAGCAGCTCCTGCCTACCCTGGGCCTTCATACTGTTTGACTAGAGGATTTCGTGCATCTTTGCTGTATCTGCCACCACAGGTCATTTCCATCATGCGTGTTTTAACACACGAGACAGCTAATGCCTGCATGTGGGAAGCAAGTGCCTTGTCTGAGGTGCTATCATTTTCAGTGACATCACAGAGAGTGGCGGGTCTTCCTAAACCAGCTCTCCTTAGGAAGTGGCTGGTTTCATTTATTTTGCTTTCTTACTGCTATAGGTTTTGGTTTAAAAAAAAAAAAGGACATGTATAATGTATGACTACTGTATAAATGTTACTCTAGGACTTCCAAGGTAAAATAGAGATTACAAGTTGCCTCTGTGTGATATGATACATAAGAAGATTCGGGGTGGTATACAGTTTTTTCAAAGAAAGATTAGAAAATGATCAGGCATCATAATCGGGACTATAGGACAGAGGAAAGGTGCAGAGAAAGAGGGAGTAAAGGGGCAGGGACCACATGGCTCTTCCTAGGGCTCTCCAGTGGGGAAGAGGAAATACAGAACTGTATAAACACGTGCGATAAAATTTCCCAGGAAACTAGGCAAGAAGGGTCATCCCTTAACCTTGCAATGGCTATACACCAACTCACAGCCAGCATTATAACAGTAGAGAAAAACCGACTGCATTTTCTCTCAACTAGGAGGCAGACAAGGTTGATTTCTCTCTCTAGTTTTACTGACTATAATACATAAGTTTCAATTTGAGAATGAGATAAGAGAAAGGAAAAGGGGACATAAACAAGAAAGGAAGGGCTCAAATTAATCCTGTTTTCAGATAACATGATTCTATACTTAAAAACCCTAAAGATTCCACCAAAATAACTCTTCAGTCTGATCATTAATATTGGCAAAACAGCAGCACACAAATTAACATACAGAAGTCCATAACTTTTCTATATACCAGCAATGAAGTCACCAAGATACAAATTGGAGGAGCAATCCCATTCATAATTCTATTTTTAAAAAGTGAGTAGACTAGGTCCACCCCAGTAGGTTACAGGTCTCTATGACAATTCTTCAAACGTTCTGAGGAAAGAAATTAAAAAGGATTCTAGACTATGGAAAGATATGCCCTACTTACAGATCAGCAGAATTTATCACGAGAAGCTGATTATACTGCCAAAAAGAATCTACAAATTAAATGCAATCCTCATTAGAATGCCACTAAAAATACATAAAGAACTAGAAAAAAAATCCTGAAATTCATGTGGAACCCTAAACGACCTTAAGTAGTGAACATAATTCTGAGCAGAAAGAGCAGTGCTGGAGGAAACATCGCGATGCCTGGATCTCAAATTACGTTCCAGAGCCATAGTGTCAAATGGCGCCGGCACAAAGACTCTCACTCACACATGCACATGCGCACACACATACACACCCAGCCGACCAATGGAAACCAATAGTGAACCCAGAAATAAACCCTGGCAGCTATGTCTTCCCAACTTTGAAGAAGGTTGCCAAAACCAGAGTTTTAGGGGGGAAAAAAAAACCAGCCTCTTCAACAAATGGTGCTCTAAAGCCTGGATATCCATCTGTGGAAGAATAAAATTAGACCCCTATCTTTCAACACTGTTAGAAAAATCAATTCTAAATGGATTAAATACTTTAATCTAAGACCTGAAACATTGAAACTGTTAGAGAAAAACAGGAAGGATGCTTCAAGCAGAAGCAGAAGCAGAAGCTTTCTGAAGCTGACTTTCATAGCTCAGCAAATAATAGCAAGTCAAATATGATGTCATGAAAATAGAAAGCTTCTGCATAGCCAAGCGAACAGTCAATCGAGTATATAGAGCTTACAGAATGGGAGAGAATATTTGCCAACTATGCATCTAACAGATGATTTCTACCTAAAATTTATAAAGAACTAAAAAATTTAACTACCAGCCACCACAAGCCCCAAAATCACCTAAAAGAAGGCATACAAATGACCCGTAAATATAGAAGACATGCTGAATATCCTCAGCCCTCAGGGAATAACAAATTCACACCACACTGAGAGTCCATCTTTCTCCAGAAGGAATGGCTAAAACCAAGTAAGCAGGCAAATGATGCTAAGGAAGCAGGGGAAGTAGTACCCTTCTTTCTACACTGCTATTGCATGGAATCCCTCAGGAAACTAAAACTATGATGTGATCCAGCTATGCCTTCTCTGAAGCCAGGAAACAACAGGGACACTCGTATAAGCATGTTTATTGCTGCACTGTTCCAAGCTGCCATGCCGTGTAGCCAATCTAGATGTATGGCAACAGATGAATCCATAAGAAACATGTGGTACCCATCCACACAACAGACTCACTCAGCTGTGGAGGAACTTTTGCCATTTGCCAGAAAACAGGTGGAACTGGAGATCATGTTAAGCAAAACAAGCGAGACTCAGAAAGTTAAATAGTACATGCTTTTCCTCATATGCAGAACCCGAATTTCAATGTATCTATATAAACATGTATGAGTGTGTGAGATGAAAGTAGGTGGGGAGATGTGTGGAAGGAAGAAAGGACTTAAAGGAAGGGAAAAAAGAAGGTGATTGGGGCAGATAAAATATAAACATCACATTTTATTTCATGTGCAGAATTTAGATCTGATAATACTTTCATATATATATATATACATATATATATATGTATATATATATATATAAACTAAGGTAACTAAGAAAGAATCGCTTTGGGGGGAGAAGGAGGCCACTGGAAAGGGAGTGGGGACACAGGATAATAACAGGGAGGTGAATATTAGGAAAGTGTGAAGATATGTATTTGCATATATTTATATAAAAAACATTGCAATCAAATTTAGTGTACAAATGGAAAGGAAAAGTTTTAAAATGTGAAGTTATTTTAAATCTAAGCACTAACACGCAATTCTCCCCACTCCTGTGGGCTATCCACTTTGCTACAAGGTTATAGTTTGAAATCTGCTTCCAAACAGCAAGACCTGAGCAGGAGGGTGTTTACAAGAAAACCCTCCATGCCACAAGGTTAATAATGCCAAGAGCTGAGAAGCCTCTGTCCTTGCTGGAAGGCCATTGCATAGCGCTCAGTGTCCTTAGGCCCAGGAGTTCTGCCTTCCGCCACAGCCAGGGATCCAGGATGGGGTCATTATCTTCTAAGACCCAAAGTCAAAGTTACACACTACTACACCTACAAGCAAGCTGCGTTGGTTACATAGTCGGTCCTGTTCCAAGTTGGAAAAGGCAACACACAAACATGGATATCAGATGCAAGCCTAGTCGGGGGGTCTTTTTGAGGGCTATCTGTCGTGGTCCTTCACACCTCCTTGGCTTCCATTGACTCATGTCTTATCACTGCAGAGCCTTCTTCTACATAGGCTTCCCCATCACATCCTATTATACCACCAATCTCATGTCCAGGAATTGATTGTGGAAATCAGGTTCAGATGCAAATAAATCTCCCCAAAATCTTGTTCAGTTCTTTTATTCTAAAGACTTGAAGATCCAATCATCTCCCTCCACACTAATATACAGGAAGAGAGAGACCATTGTAAGTCCCTGTGCCCAATAAGAGAGAAGCGGAACAAAAGGAGTGGCCAATTCAGAGCAATTCTGAAATGCAACGGGCTGTTACTGTAAGTTCCTCAAGGGCTAAGGAGATTGCTTCAGTGGTTAAAACATTTGCCACGTAGCATGAGAACCTGAGTTTCAATCCCCAGAAACCTTCATAGATGTCAGGTACGCATGGCTTCCCGCCTGTGATTCAAGCCCCAGAGAATGGAGACACCAAAACCAACCATATCAAGAAGCTCTGAATTTGCTTGAGATTCTCTGCCTCAATGAATAAGGTTGAAGAGGAATGGAAGCTGATTCCCAAGAACACCCACAAATGTGCATGCGTATCCCCCCATATGTGTGCACACACACATGCAAAAACATGCATATAGCCATGCATATCACACACATGCAAAAACATGCATATAGTCATGCATATCACACACACACACACACACACACACATACACAGGAAAAACAAACAAGTTTTCCAGGTAGGATTTGGTTCTTCCCTTACCCTACACTCTGAATTCTTGATTCTACCCACTCAGCTCTTCCATTGCATGAAATGCAGCACCCTCTGGAGTTGAGCACTGTTCACAGTATGTTTCTGCCTTTAGAAGCTTGATGACCAAAGACCGCTCCACATTTGGTCCCACCTCACTTTTTATCCAAGATTGACTGTGTCTCTACCAGGTTTCCCATGAATCCCTTTCTTGTCATGTGTACCTTTCTGGAAGGCTACCGGTGGGAGTCGCCCTGACAGCAGCTGACTTTCCTCAAAGCAGCTAATTTAAAAGTGGTAGCACAAGTTTATGATCAGGTTCCCAAAATCGCTCACCATAATCTTTGCAACATTCTGTTATTTATAGAGCCTACCCCTATTCAGTGTTCGAAGACTACATGAAGACATGATTGCTGATAGGTAGTAAATGAGCGGGACCCTTTTAGAACCTGGCTCTCATATTGGTCTAGGTTCAATGGGCAAATGAGTTGCATTTGATATGTACTGTGGGCTGAATAGTTTTATTTCCTCACTCATACACTAAAGCTTTCACCCCCAAAGTGACTCAAAGGTTAATCCATGATGAAGTGATTTTAAAAAAACAAATTTAATTTAAAAATTTGTATGCCTCCTCACATATTTATATGTTTGCTTTTATAAATATTACATTTATCAGTCTCAGTTTGGTGTGTTTGTTGACTGTACGCAACAAAGAACTTGGGAGAGAGAAATAGATACGCTAATATTTTGCCACGCTACGAAAGATCACATAACCTTGGTGATCATCTTTTTTATATCAGCGCAAAGAAATATATCCACTTAATTCATTAATTTTACAGAGTTGAGTCCACCAAGTTATGCATATATAGGTAAAGCTCGCTTAT